CCCCTCCCAATAAGTGTCCGCCACTGCGTAATATCCATATTAAATAAAGCAAGGAGGCAAACTGCCTGCTAATAGTTGTGGAAATACTACCATAAAATGCAGAAAATTTGTAGGGTTCATCCACTAACTTCGTATGATCATTTTTTACACGGTCATCCGGCCAAGATTCCACACTGGATAGGATAGAAAAATAAAGCAGGATAGGTCCTAAACCTATGCGTATGTCCCCGCAATGATATCATTTGTTCAAAGGATACTCATGTTTACGATCATCTTCAACTTTACAGCGGGTTTCTTTTCTTTCTGGTTCGCCTTCACCTTTTGCGGCGACTGCAAAAATAAATAAAAATATGAAGAAACACGAAAACTAAACAAGTACTGCAGCATATAATTAATGCACAAATTAAACATACAATAATGATGCATTAAGTTCGTTTGTTAATTGCTCTTCGAATTTTCGTCGAAATTGAGCCAAAAAATTTGATCGATTTGTCCTTGGCCTATAATATATTTATCACTACATGCAGATTCCATAAAGAATAGAGGATCTTGGCCAGATCAAGTTTTCTGGTAGCGTATTACATGTGCCTGTGCTGCGGATACCGACAGCGTACACGCTTATTTTATGTGCATTTGTAACGACTTGGGAGAGTTAACGTACATACATAGCAACGAATTGATGCATACCTGTTTGTATTTTGACTCTATGTAGTCTGGACGAAAACTGATCGTTCACTCGAAACTGATGTGATGATTCTGAAAAAAATATATTGCAACACTCATAGCATTTATTACAGCATTTTTGAAATGCTGTAACTTCGGTCATAATATACCAGTACATACATGTGTACATTGTCACAGGCAATTGACCAGTGTGGACCAATGTACATTGCCTGTGCAATGGGGGAGGTGCTAATCACGTATCTTACTTGCAGCTGAGAGCTAAGCTGAATTGCAAAGGACGCAGCTCAACCTGATCGAGTTGAAAGCTTTTTCGGAGGCCTGTGGAGCACAGCTACGGTGGAAGGGTAATTTAGGGGCTAATCCCAACCCACCCTGTCCACATTTACCCGGATAAAACCTACGACTTTCGGTAGAGCCGTGAATGGCTCTTTTCATTACATGAAAAGAGCCACTATAATAATCAGTGACCCACTCGCCTGGTGGACCACTTTTCTTGCTCTTATCACGTACAATGACGTAATACTGTGTATCTATATAATTAATTGAACAGACAACGGCCAGGCTAGACAATAGCAATGTTGAATCTAGAATGAACTATTATACGAAAGGTAACATATTGATGCCTACAGGCAGTAAAAATTAAGCAAGGACGAGAGTGGCATGCATGGGCTGGGCTGTATGACCCGCGTATAGAAGGTTGTCCGTCTTTG